GTTCAGCAGAATATTGGGGCGTGTGAAGAATGGGACAGAAACTGATTCTCCATGTGCCATCCTGTTGTGGAAAGCAGCAGGATGGTCCCCAAATGCCACTGTCAGCTCTCGTCATTTTGGATAGAGCCAACACAGGAGAGTTTGAGCCAGGTGATGAAAGCATCTAGTGACTTGGAGATGGAAGATTGAAAAGAGTGGGGCAAATAGATGAGGGGAGCTTAAAAATAAGCATTCCACCCTTTCATGCAGAAGAAAGGAACATCTACCTGGTTAAAGCTAATGGAAGAGAGAAGCTGCCTGCTAGGGAAAAACGTTCTGACACAAGGCAGAATTAACATGTGAAACTCTCTGCCAGAAGGTCTCATCGAGGGCAAAAAGTGGAGAAGAAAGACAGAAGCAATTGCTATGAGATAACCCTGCTATGTAAGTTTAGATTTTTTTAAATGTTATTTTTAGTGTGTTTTCATGGCAATAGGTCTTACACAATCTGCTGTCTGGGTGCAGGAGGTAAGGGTAGTTAGTGTCTGCAAGCTCAACACTGAAATCACTTCTTGCACTCAGATGTCTTCTTTGTCCAGTCCCAGCTGTGTCCATGTGGGCTGGGGTCCCTGCAGAGGCTCTGCCAGGCTGGGGCAAGTGCTGCAGGGTCAGGCCACGGGGCAGCAGAGCCTGGTGGCTCCTGCAAAGCCCCAGCCAGGGAGATGTGGCTCCTGTTTTTCTTCAGAGTGAAAGATCACTCCTTTCAGTTGGGTGTAGAAAACACTCGAGCTGAGGGGAGAAGAGGTCTTTGCTCCAGAGCCATAGAAAAGCTCCTGTCCTGGGTTGGGGGTTGTTGTGCAGGACATAGCCCAGGATCCTCATGGGGAGAAGGGACATTCAGGAATTGTAGTTAATAATATTTCAGTGGAGGCTGCTTTAGGAATTCCACATTGAGTGCTGAGTTACTGTCACAGAACAATAAATGCAAGGGTCAGTGGCAGCTCCCTGAGGGTGAGGCTGATGCCTGTGACCTCTGGCCACAGGACCCTTTGCATAATTTGAATCAATGATGAGTGTCCTTCCCAGACAGGCATTGCACACTGCCGTGTGGTTTCCTCTGAACTTGCAAGGGATCCTGGTGTTGGCAGTTTCTTTAATTTCTGCCTGTGGCTTCCTCCTGCCTTGTGCTGGAGCTCGGGGAAGGCAGAGGATCCCTGCTGAGATCCCCATGGTCTGCAGACCAGCCCCTCATGTCTGGCAGCCTCTGCTGAGAGGGCTGCAGAGCATCCCTCTGCCCTGGCTCAGCTCAGAACTGCAGCCTGCTTCTGCCAGCCAGCAGGGATTTGTCCTCAGGGGAAACTCTCCACAGGGTTGGGGAGGCTTTCCTGAAGCTGGCTGCAGACTGAGGCAGTTGTCTCAGCTCCCCTTTGCAAGCTTAGGGACCAGAAGTGGTGCTGTCCTCCTACAGAGACTGAGACCATTCCTTGTCTTCTCTTCCAGTGTGAAGGAATCCCATAGCATTGTCCACCTGCCCTGTCTGGACACAGCACTTTCTTGCTGCTCTTTTCTCACTCTTCCCCTAGTACTTATTCATTGAAGTGTGAGGTCCTATGGGGCAAGTTCCTCCCCAGAAGCAGCCACCCCAGCCCTGGACAGATGTGGAGATCTGCTCTGCCCCCACGCTGTCCCTGCTGCTCCTGGCTGCTCTCTCAGTGCAGCTCTTCACATGTCAGCTTGTCACCCCTGCCTTGCCAGCTGCCTGCTGTCAGGGGGAAGGTGATGGTCCCTCAGGAAGATGTCATGTTTGCTCACCACTGACTTTCCAGTACCTCTCCCACTCCATGGACGTTTGCCCTGCTAATCACCAGTGATTCAGAGATGGCCCCAGCCTGCCTGGAGAGGATATTAGGGGAATTTTTAGGGCCTTTTTGCTTGATCATACTTGCCTTTTCTGCCTCTTCCTTATTTATTCTCTTTCCCCTTTCTTACCTGTGCTAAATTTTGATTGTCTTGATTACTTGACCATAACCTCTTGGTTTGTGGTTTTTTGTATGCAAAGACATACTAAAGAGGTGACATCTTGGGCTGCTTGCTCCCCTTCCTAACTAAGGGCTTTTCTTTTGTTTTTCAACTTGGTATTTGTAAAGCTGGGTCTTCTGGTCTATGCCTTGAATTTCTCTTGTGTTTCTCTGCTACATTAGAAGGTCATCTGGTTACAGAGGTCTGCCATCACGGGAGAAATAAAACCAGGAGTTGTTTCCTCACTCTCCCTTTATATCAGTTCTGTATATTTTAGTACTTGAACACAAACTTTCTGCTTCTGCTGAGCTGCAGTTTTGTGCAACTCATTGAAATATTCTCGATTCCAGTTAGAATGGAAAGTGTTTCATCAGCGTCCAGTAAGAAGTCCCATCCGGTGCTCATCTAAATGGAGAACTGAAAGCTTGGCCAACTACTTCTATGGCAAAGAGGAAATATTTTCACCATTTCCAGCAGAAATAATCTTTGCAATGGTGAGACTTTCTGTGGTTCCTACCGGATGAGCAGCTCTCCTCAGGGTGCTGCTGAAGCCACTGCCCACAGCTCGTCACGCTTCCATTTGTCATTGTGGTGAGCTCAGTTTCTAGTATCTGCTGGGTTTGGGGTTTTCTCACCACCATCCTGCACTTGTTTTCCATTGCTCCTCTCTTACCTATCCCCTTTCTCTCTTACCTATCCCCCCTATCCTATCTGCTCCTTTTCTCTCTCCTTGGGCAGGCAAAGGGGTTCCCACCAAGCCAGTGTTGCCCATGACCATTGTTCATTCCCATCACACGGTTCTGCTCAAGCTGAGCTCAGCCTTGGCTCAGGGCTGCTCTCCCCAGCAGTCTGCTCTCCTCCCTCCAGCTCCTTCTCTTAATGCCCTATCTCCTGACATGGGTGTACTTGCTTTTTGGGGGCTAAACCAATGGAAAGTGCTTGAAGTGGATGAAATTACCCTGCTTGGGAAGAAGTGGGCAAGCAGCAATGCCAACAACTTGACTTTCAGGAGGCTGCAGACCACAGCCAAAATTAAAGTCCTTAAAGAGGTGTAATTACTCTGTTCCTTGTGGGGACAAGGAGGGTGGCAGGCTGGGCTACAGCCTGAACCCACTGCTCCAGGGCTACAGAGTCCAGTCCCTAGTGGCCACCCAGTCCTCCATGTCTCTGCAACCTTTCCAGCATAACAGTAGGCCTTATCACTGCATTACCAGCCAAAAAGGGACAAATGTTGAGACCCTCAGTGACTTCCAGCTCAACACAACCTGGTTCCTACATGATTATTTCCTCTCCTCCATGTCCAACCAAGAAATCAGTGCTATGAAACCCCTGCCTGGAGCTTCCTGCTGCATGGCTGCCTGCCTGGGATTGCCAGCAGGGCTCTGGCCATGGAGCTTGGTGCCCCAGGCTGGCCCATGGCCTGTGGGGTGGTGGCAGTGGCAGGGTTGGTGTCACGGGGGTCTGGGCTCCTGCTGGTCCCTGCTGGACACCTAAATGGAATCTGAAAGTCTCAGCCCTGTGGCCAATGCTTCCCCTTCTGCGGTTTCCTTCCTTTCTCCAGCTCAGCAAAACTGGGCAATCCTGACACAATTTCCCTGGTATGATGCGCTCATTTTCTTTCCTTGAAACCCCCTGCCCGCCCAGCAGCCAGGGATAAAAGGGGGGCATGGCCACAGGGGCCCAGCATCGAGCAGAGGAGAGCCCTGAAGGACAGAGCCCTGCAGCCACCCAGCTCCAGCCCAAGCCCATCCCATCCCTGCAGCACCATGAAGGTCCTGGCAGCCGCCCTGGTCGCTCTCCTCCTCATGGCCACCTGCTCCACGTCTGAAGCCCACCTTGGTGAGTCCAGCACAGCTGCATCCTCCCCAGGGCTGGCTGTGCCATCACTCCGAGGGGCAGCCAGGGCAGCTGGAGAGCCCCATCCCTGCCAGCAGGGACCCTGGTGGCTGTGGGGAGGGCTGGGAGCAGGACATCACTTCCAGTGCTGGCACTCACCTGGGACAAGGATCTCCTGGGGAGCCACTGCCAGGGAGTAGGACACAAGATGGAGAATGGCAGACAGCAAATCCCTGGGGGACCCCAAGTGCCAGTGGGGCAGAGTCTGTGCTGTAGCCTGGGGTCTTACCAGGGTTGTCTCTCTCTGCCCTCACAGATGGTGTCCCCACCACCTGCTGCTTCAGCTACCAGCAACGCCCGGTCCCACGGGGCCTCGTTGCCTCTGTCTACATCACCAGCAGGAGCTGCAGCCAGCCAGGAGTGATGTGAGTACCCACCACTGCTGGGGGCTTGGGATGGGACGGGCAGGGTAGTGCTACCAGGGTGGCTGGAGGGGGATGAGGACGTGGCTCACAGATGGTGTCCCCACCACCTGCTGCTTCAGCTACCAGCAACGCCCGGTCCCACGGGGCCTCGTTGCCTCTGTCTACATCACCAGCAGCAGCTGCAGCCAGCCAGGAGTGATGTGAGTACCCACCACTGCTGGGGGCTTGGGATGGGACGGGCAGGGTAGTGCTACCAGGGTGGCTGGAGGGGGATGAGGACGTGGCCAGGGACCCCCAGGTGGTGTCAGGAAGACCCAGGGCAGGCAGCAGCCCGTGGCCCTGGCCAGGTGCTCCAACGTGGGGTTTCTCCTGGCAGCTTGGTCACCAAGAAGAAGAAGGAGCTGTGTGCAGATCCTCAGGCACCGTGGGTACAGGCCCTTCTGAAGCACTTCCAGGCCCTTAAGAACTGACCCATCTCTGGTGCCACCTGCCCAGTCCTTGGTGCCAGCCCCTCAAGGACTTGGCTTCCAGCCCCAGACGCACAAAAGGACTTGGACTCCAAGTGTCCTCAGCAAGGAAATGTATTCTATTTAACTTATTTAAGTTAAGCTAAATATATTATATTTTTTTTGCTAATAAAAGGAAAAATACAAAAATAAACATTTATTTGGGAGTTTCTTTGGACAGGGTCTGGCTCCATAACTTATTGAGACAAGGACATACAGATAAGGGAGAGGTGCAAATAAATAGAGCTCGTGTGGAAGGCAGGTTCACGTGGAGGTGGGAGCTGAGTCCTTCTGCTGCCGGTACTGCTGGAACCAGCTCAGCTTTGGGTCCACACAGACCTTCTTCCCCCCCGACAGCTCCACCCTGGGACAGAGAGGGGCTGTGTGAGCTGGGGGCAGTGGGATCCAGCCATGCCCTGGGGTTGCCCCGCCAGCCTGGGGCTAAAAGGACTTGGACTCCAAGTGTCCTCAGCAAGGAAATGTATTCTATTTAACTTATTTAAGTTAAGCTAAATATATTATATTTTTTTTGCTAATAAAAGGAAAAATACAAAAATAAACATTTATTTGGGAGTTTCTTTGGACAGGGTCTGGCTCCATAACTTATTGAGACAAGGACATACAGATAAGGGAGAGGTGCAAATAAATAGAGCTCGTGTGGAAGGCAGGTTCACGTGGAGGTGGGAGCTGAGTCCTTCTGCTGCCGGTACTGCTGGAACCAGCTCAGCTTTGGGTCCACACAGACCTTCTTCCCCCCCGACAGCTCCACCCTGGGACAGAGAGGGGCTGTGTGAGCTGGGGGCAGTGGGATCCAGCCATGCCCTGGGGTTGCCCTGCCAGCCTGGGGCTGCCTGCAGCATCCTGCCCCCCACAGCCCCCACAGCAGCTGATTTTTACCCATCTCTAAAACCTTGCCTTCCTCCCCATTGTGCTGCCTGGCAGCATGTTGGGGCTGTTTGGGATAACACCCTGAGGAGGGAGATGCATATGTGAGAGGCAGGGCACCCCACACACCCCAGGCACCCTTTGTGGGTGGTTTGTGCTGGGTGACCCTGAAAGGCTCAGCGACGGGCAGGGAAGGTGGGTAGGCAGGTGAGGGTGAGGAGTGGGGTGCTGGAGGAGGAAGGCTGGGGGTACTCACCTCACAGCCCTGTGGGAGCAGTGGGAAGGGGTCTCCTGGTAGCTCTTGATGAACCGGGCCGGGATTGTCTGCCAGAAGAACGTGTCCTTGTAGCAGCAGGTGCTGTGGGAGCTGCGGACTGAAGGCAGGCCAGAGGGGTTGGGGGTCTGCCCTGCTGGGCATGAGGGGTGTGGGGGCTGCCCCAGGGGCTCTCCTCCCATCATGGGGGGTCCCCTATGGCACCCCCAGCTGTGCTGCTGTGCCCCAGGGTAGGACCCTCGCCCCGTTTCCCTCCCCACAGGGGCTACTGCTGAGCTCCCAGCTGCACAGCCAGGGCTGAAGCCATCCCCAAGCCTGGTTCTGCTCCTTTTGAGCAGGACTGAGACAGACCCCTGCTCAGGCAGCTGGTGTTGCCCCTCAGCATCCCACACCCATAGCAGAAGCAGGAGTTGAAGCTCTCATCCCCCTCCCTCAAGCCCCCAAGCCAAGGCAGCAGGAGGAGCTGGGGATGGCACTGGGAGAGCCGTGGGGAAAGCTTCCCTGGTACCTACAGGAGATGCCCTGGCTTCCAGTCCAGAGAGCCCCCAGCAGCAGGGTGAGCAGGGCCAAGGAGAAGATCTTCATGGTCAACTCAGGGCTGGACCAGCACCAGCAGCTCTTGCTGACTTGGGGCCACTGAGAGCTCCTTGCCTCTCCTGCCTGCACCTCAGCATGATATACCCCCAGCCAGGCTTTCCATGACACCTCTGGACTCTCCCCGGGGAAAGACCCACCCACAGATATTAATCAAGGGAAAGTGGCAAGTGGAAATTCCTTCTCCTGGCCCCTCTGGCCCCTGTGGTACCTGAGGGCTGCTGGAAATGTGGTGAGCACCTGGCAGCCCCGTGCTGCTGCTGCTGCTCCCGGCCCCCGGCCCGGGCTGGGCTGCTGCTGCTGCTGGCAAACCACACAGGATGGTGCTGGCGCCTGCCAAAGCCCCGGCTGAGTTTATTTACAAACCCCCCCCCTTTCTCAGCTCTCCTGCAGGGCCTCTCTTGCAATTTTGCTCTGGGGTGAGTGGCTCGGGGGTGGCCGGGCTTCCCCAGCCCACCCTAGTGCCCCGTGGTGGTGGCTGTGCCCACCCCTGCCTGTCACATCTCCCTGTGGCATCCCAGGAGCAGGGCTGTTCGTGGGGTCCATCTGGGCAACCCTTGAGGAGCAGCTCTGGTGGGAGGTGGGCCAGGGCTCTCCACTCCTTAGGGTGGCTGAAAAGGAAGCCCCCTCCTCCCTGGCTCTTGTCCCTCTCACTTGAGGTTTCCCCAAAGCCCACACAGACATGGTTTGGCCCCAGGCACCCCCAGGACTCCCTCGCAGGGACATGGTGGGGACTTGGGCTCTTCCTGACTCCTCACTGTCTCCAGCAGTTACAGCTGTGGTTTAACATGGGGTGGGAAAGCTGCCAGCAGGATCTGCCCCCACCCTGGACACTTGCACAGTCAGATGTTTGCATGCATAATATCAGGTTTAATTCAGTTATAGGTGTTGTACAAAAAATCACCGTGGAGCTCCTGCCCCTTAACCCCTCTGCTGCTGCCCAGCCAGCAAACACAGCCCCATGGAGGGGAACAGGCCTGTGTGCCAGGCAGGGCTGGCAGCCTGGAGGTCTGGACCTGGGCACCCCGTGGAGCTGGCACTCCTCATCCTGGTGGGATGCCAGGGATGGCAAAAGCCCTTTGCCCTCAGGGTGGTGCTGAGGGTGATCACAGCGTGATGCGAAGAAGTCCCCAGGGAGCTGCTGCACCCCGATGTGGTGTCCCCAGAGCCAGCTCTGCAAAGGGGTCACCTTTGCAGCATCTTGTCCTGCACTGGAGAGGACTCCCCGTGCTGCCTCTGGCCACCCTGCTAGCTGGGAATGGAGAAGGAGCTGACTTGGAAGCTCTGCTGGTATCTCTTCACCCAGGCTCTGCTCGCCTGGGCACAGATCTCTCTCCCGCTCTTCACCTTAAAGCTGGGGCAGAGAGGAGATGGGGTTAGTGGGGTGGTGGGAGAGGGATCCCGGGGCTGATTTTCTGAGGGGCTCAGGGGCATAGAGGATCAAGATTGGACCCACCAAAGCAAGGCTTGGGGTCTGGCAGGGTCTAGAGGGGCTTCATCCCCAGGGCTGGGTCTAAGGTACTCACATGACAGCCCGGTGGGGGCACTCGGGGCTGGTGGGGTAGCAGGCAACCACGTTGTCCCTCTTGATCCTTCTTGTCTGGAAGTTGAAGCAACACTTGTCTGGCACAGCTGGAGCTCCTGGGGGGACAGCGCAAGTTTGGCTTCACCTGGAGACCCCCACCTCCCACCTCAGCTCTCCCTCTTGTGGAGGAGACCCCTGCCCACCCATGCACAAAGCAAACCCATCCCCAGAGCCCTGGGCGCTGTCCCCAGTGTCCCCTGCCCCACAGGGACAGAGCAGGTGGCAGTGCTCACTCTGAGCCCAGCTCCAGCAGCACAGCGTGGTGAGGAGGAGGAGGATGAAGGCACTGGCCACCTTGGCCATGCTTGGCCAGGAGGGCTGCTCAGCACAGAGCTGTGGGGTCAGGGCAGCCCAGCTGCTTTTATGGGGGAGCAGAGGGGCTGGGTCCCCAGCCCAGGCCAGCGGGTGCGTGGCCAGGGGGAGGTCCTGGTCCCCTGCCATGTCCCAAAGCACAGAGGCTGAGCAATACTCATCCCCTCCCAGCACAGCCCTGGGAAGGAAAAACCTGTTCCCAGGCCCTGCTTTTGGCTGTGCTGGGCTTGGGATTTTTCCTGAGCTCCTGCTTCCAGCGATAGGGCTGGTGGGGGGGTTGATCCCATAGCTTGGCTCCTCACCCCTGTCCCCTGGGCAGCTCTGTGCCCCATGGCAGAAGGCCCAGGAAGGGGGGCAGGGAGTTTGGGGATCTTCCTCAGGTGGGCCCAGGGCCAGGCTCAGCACCCCAGCAGCCACACGTCCTCCCCCTGCACTGCAGTTTTGCATCCCATTGCTTTGCATCCCAGCCCAGCAGACAAAGGGCCAAAGACCACCCCCTCCTCCTGAAGAAACCCAGAGAAGCAGCCTCTGTTTGGGTGCACGAGGCACGTACACAGCTCTGTGCTGGGGCTGGGGGTGTGTGGGGCAGGAGAGGCCAGGCAGGTGGTTCCTCTTCCCTCCCCCCAGTCCCAAAGCTGCAGCTCATGTTCTTGGCCATGCTGAGCTGGGAAAGGCCAAAGCCAATCTGGGCTTTCCCAGTGGGTTTTGCCTGGCTGCAGCTGTCCAAAAGAGCACTTCTCACCCCAGCCTCAGCAAATCCTGGGGCACATTCCAGCTGCCAGCAGCTGCTGGGTGGTGGGAAGCAGCAGGGAGATGCAGACGTGTCCCTGCCAGCGTGGGAACCATGTCCCACCCTGCAAGGCACGGGACACTGGTGGCACCCTGGGCTGGGGAGGACATGGGGTGCTGGTCCAGGCAGGGGCCTGCCCCGATGGGATCAGGGGCCACCTCCATGTTGAGGCCACAAATGTCCCTCCATTTGCTCTTCTCCAAAGCCATTCCTAGAAATCAGCCTCAGGTTTTGGGGTGCAGGTGCTGGTAGCAGTGGGGTGCAGCAGGTGGGGCTGGGGCTGCTCTGGTGCTGGGGGGTGTGGATGTGGTGGGGTTCATGTTCCTGTGCCTGGCTGGTGGAGCAGAGCACCTTCCCATCCTCCCCCCCACTCCCATTTAATCTCTCCTCCAGGAGACCCTGGGGAGAGCAAACGACTCTGCTCCTGGTCTGGAGCAGCTGCCTGGCTCCCTTTCCCTTCCTGGATCCATCCAGCACCAAGGAGCTGCTGGCCCAGCTGGGATAAATGTGGCTGCCTATAAAAATAACATTCCCTGCAATAAGAAAATGAGACAGAAGCACAAGGAAAACAAAAAAGGGTTTATTGGACTGAGAAAGGGCCTTTTGAAAGACTGCCATGCCAAACGCTGGGATACATGATGCCAGAGAATTCCAGGGATGATGCTCCTGACACCTGCAGAAGGGCACAGGGACATGTCCCCATCCCAGTGGCCCTGGGGGCAGTGCTGGGTGCCCCACACAGGCCTTGCTCCTCGTGGCTTCTCCACATCTCTGGACATAAACCCCGGGCAGCTCCTGGGGAAACTGCTGCTTCCACTGGGAATGTCTCTGTGCTTGATCACCCTCCGTGCTCAGAACCACCCCCCAGCTCATCTTGCAGAGCTCTGCATTGCTGGGGCTGCCAAAGAGCTGCTGGGGCAGGGGGGGCACTGCCAGGCACAGCCCCTGGACAGGCTG